TATATATATATATATATATATATATATGTGTATATATGTATATGTGTGTATATATATATATATATATGTGTGTATATGTATATGTCTATATATATATATACACACACGCACACACAAAAAAACAACTCTGTCTCTCTCTCTCTATATATATATATTCCCCCTAGTCTGGAGAACACAATGTTTCGTTGATATTTCCACATTTTCCATAACAATTTTGGGGGTCTACATCATTGAACACCTCATTCACTTCTTCATTTCTTTATTAGAGAAGCCCCATGAACTAAATCTATTGAAACACCTCAAATGTGCAAATGTCGGTCACTCCATAAGCATGATTAAAAGCACTGATACAGACTACACATGACCCGATTACAATGATTATTCATAATCTTACATAACCGATCACCCACATGCTTTTAAATATATCCAAGAGATCTGTGTAAGAAAAATTAGCTGAAAAGTAAGATGTGTGTTAGCCAGTTAGCCATTTCATGTAACGTTATGCAAAAATAGCTATTTTAATAGACATAACGTACAAACACCGCTCACAGGCGTAATTACTGACAATACGGACTTCAGTATTTATGCTGTGTTAAAGCTGTATTTATATTTGCAGTGTGTAACTTACATATATCTTCACAACACCTCTGGATACACGTGTATGTGTGTACAGCTGCCGCTAAGCAGATACCTCACGACAGTTCCTTTTTTTTTCTTTTTTGCGACTAAACATCGCGTGTGACGGCTCGTGTAGTCGCGCGTTTAGTCCAGTAGAGGGCGACAGAACTGCGGCCTACATTTAGCATATCATAAACTTCAAAATGGCAAGTGAGTTGAATTACAAAAATACAGGAAACATATATTATAAATTCACAAATGTATCTTAAAATGTTCTCCCTCCAGAAAAAAAAGATGTTTGTCTCCATTTAAAGGTGAAATACTTTATCAATCCCAGCTTAAAATGCAGAGTCAACTATAAGTAAGTTGATTTCCCCAAAATGTGTAAACACTGTTGCTCTGACCCCTGTGTTGTTTGTTTTGACCGGCCCAATATGTCAACTTTTGGCTGAATTAATAGTGTTGAGGGACACACTGTTTGTGTGACTCATGACAGATGGAGGACATATGGAGCATTTGATCATTCATGTCATTGTTTTTCCAATTCCATTTAGTGGCTACGGTGGCAGAGAAGTGCTAAACAAATCACAATTCTGAAAACAAAATAACAAATTACAAACGCAAATGCAAATCTATAAAACAAAATAACAATTCAGAAAGCACAACAACAATTCAGAAAACATTATAACAAGTCAGAAAACACAATGACAAATTCGAAAACAAAATAACAAGTCAGAAAACACAACGACAAATCCGAAAACAAATTATCAAGTCAGAAAACACAACGGGATCGAACCCGGGTCGATCGCGTCAAAAAGCCAACAACACACACTTTTCCATCTGCGCCACTGGAGCTGATGATTTACAGTCACTTTAACATTACATTACTAAGTGTAAATAGACACCCCGTATTTTTTTATTTCATAGTAAGGGCAATTCATACAATACATTTAAACTGAGCTACTTTAATACCATCTCCAAACTTTCTACCACGACTCTGCTGTTCTTCGGCTGGTTCTTCCTGTATATGTTGATTGACAGATGTCTCGTCCAGTCAGCGGTGAGTAATCCCAAACCAATGGCGCTGTCTCAAACTATACCTACCTCTTCCGGTTTGTCTGATTTGTCGTTGTGTTTTCTGACTTGATAATTTGTTTTCGCATCTGTCGTTGTGTTTTCTGACTTGCTATTTTGTTTTTGAATTTGTCATTGTGTTTTCTGGCTTGTTATAATGTTTTCTGAATTGTTATTTTGTTTTTTAGACTTGCATTTGCGTTTGTAATTTGTTATTTTGTTTTCAGAATTGTGATTTGTTTTGCACTTCTCTGCCACCGTAAGTGGCACTAGCTGTGCTGAAATGACACACTTCACATTGACAAACCCCAGTAAATGGCTCAACCGCTGCAGTTTTCTTGACTGTGTGTTGACCAAGTGGTCAAGGTTTGGTGGGTTAGCACGACCCAGTTATCTCCTAATGTTAGATACCATATTCAGACATTTTATTATTCTCTAGTAGTTGTTGTTGCTATTTTGTTTTGGAGGCCTTTTTGCAGGGCCTAGGCCTATCGTTTGGCGTTGCAGCTAAGTGAAGTGTTTTGAACTGTGTGTGTCTTCATGTTGTCATTATAGCCTGCCAGTGTTGTCATTTTCCTGCTGCTATATTTTTGGTGTTTTTTCCTGAATGAAAAAGTGAAAAGTTTATGCTGAATTAATTATTTGAATTTTGTCATGATTATACATAATAATTTTGTATAATCATTTTTGTAGACCACAGGTTTTCAAACTATGGTCCAGGGACCCGAAGCGGGTGCAAAGGGATTCTAGGGGGTATGTTGAAAAGACAAAAATTTTGTTTTTTATTATTGTATTATTTTCTTTCTTTCTTTCATGGTTGTCAAAGTGTAAAACTGCTCTGGAACGTGTGTATATATTACTGTAAGGAAAAAAAAAAAAAGCTATACAAATGAATGAAATGAAAATTATTTTAAATTGTTTCTCCTCAGGTACATACAAAGTCAATATTTTCTAGATAATAAAAAAAAAAAAAAGCTATACAAATGAATGAAATGAAAATTATTTTAAATTGTTTCTCCTCAGGTTCATACAAAGTCAATATTTTCTAGATAATAAGTTAATTCATTTTGTATTTATATTACATTTGATTTAATATTCATTTTATTTATGGCCTTTTTAATTTATTTATATTTCAATCTTAATTGTATTTTGCACTATTTGTGTGTGTGTGTGTGATTCGATATTTTCTAGACAATAATTTAGTTAATTTTGTATTTTTATATTTTATCTAATTTTTTCATAATAACTGTATTATTTAATTTTTAATTTAATTGTTTAATTTAATTGTATTTCCTGCTGTATATGGGGTTTTAAATCTGAATATATAGTTGCCTTCGTATTTTAAGAGAGGGGGTATTTACAAGGGCATTGTCATATTTGGGGGTCCATGCCATTAAAACGTTCAAAAACCCCTGCACTAGAATAATTTTAGATGCAATACAATACAATAAATAAATAAAAGGTGTAATCATGTAGCACACACATATCTTCTGTCTTGTACTGAACCTTGCAGCAGTGTTATTCTAGTATAATTGACATACTAATTATAGTTGTTTAATATTTTGTATTTTTTGTAATTACCATTTTCATTTTAATTTAAAAGTTTTAGTCATTTTGTTGTGTTTTTTAACATCTATACCGTTTTTATACATTTTTCAGTTTTAGCTATTTTAGTACATCAAATTAAACTAAATGGGAAATGTTACTTTGGCAACCAACTGAAAAAAAAATTATATATATA